TGAGTGAGTGAGTGAGTGAGTGAGTGAGTGAGTGAGTGAGTGAGTGAGTGAGTGAATGGGGAACGTGGAGAGAGAGAAGAGACAGAAGGGTGTGGTGGTTTTAGTAATTCCTTATCATGGCCTATTCTATGACGAACGTTTCAACAAGCGTTTTACAAGAACTACCTGTGATATCAGGGAAAGATGTGCTATGAAATTGCTTAATATTGCTATCGAAACCTAAGAAAACTTTATTCAATTTTGCCGAAAGTCTTAACGATCCAGACTGGACGAGCCATTGGAGTGTGTGCCCGTTTTGAGTCCCGGAAGACCCAGCAATCGTTCGCAGTTCTCTGCAAAGCTGGACAACTGTACCGCAAAGGGAATTCTGGGATATTCATCAGCAGCCATCTTGGTACAGGCGGAGACGAAGGCGAAAAAGCTGAGGCCTAGAGAGAAGAACAACATGGTGAGATAGGGGAAGAAAGAAGGTTTTTTCCCTGTTATTTTGGGTAAGTGTTTTATTGCGCTCGCAACTGCATAAGGTCATACTATACTCTGTCACATTTTTAAGTATACACTGTGTTAAAATGAAAATAGCTAGTTTCACAATGAGTCGATATTCTTTAAAATTTCAGGAATACGAATTCAATCAATTTCAAAAATGAAAAAAGCAACAACAATACGGAATGTTAACATAACAGGTTTATTCATGACTTACAAGAGTGTGGGGGTGGTCTACAAAAGTAGCACAATCAGTAGAGTTGATGACAGCCTGACATCGTCGCCGCCTTGAATCAATCAATCGCTGCACTGCCTTTTGAGGGATGTTATTCCACTCTTCATACGATGCTCTCTCAACTTGAGGAAGTGTCTGAGGCTGGGGTTGTCGCATGTTGTTCCACTCATCTCTGGTTCTTCTAGCCGTTTTGAAACGATTCCGTAGATGCGACAGGCGTATTAAAAGATCCTCTCTTAGAGTAGTTTTTCTCTTCCCACGTTGGCAGTGTCGATCCTTTCCTGATTTTGGTGTTTTCTCACGATCCATTGCTGTGTACACAGGTCTTCTTGTTACATTAAAATGTCTCGCAACAATGGATACTGAGCCCCCCCCCCCCCTGCGGATTATTCCAACGAGCTGATTTCGCACATTTTCTCGTACGGCGTGACATCATGAAACGTAGACAAGACAAGTTTTATCGCTGGCGAATTGTTACAAAAATGGCAAAGCTTTGATGTGTGCTTCTTTTTTAAACAAATCATTGCCATATCATGATTAATTTTCGAAAAACACGAAACATGCAACACGCACGCAGTTACAAAACCACTCACGCGTTCAGTAATCTGAAAGCAGCTCACCAGCGACAGGTACATCACGTAATCAGTGTGTAAATTTGAAAGTAATTGGTGGCATAGATTTTGTTTTATTGAGCTTCAAAATGTGTATACTTAAAAATGTGACAGAGTATATGAGCGCGCAGGACACATTAAGCTTTTTCAGTTGGTAGGACATTTTTTAATTTTGCTCGGGTGGCGGCTGGAGCCTATTCTTATCGATTTTAGACCACCAAGGAATCTTTAACGCGCACATCTTGCATATGGACACGCCCAGATTTTTTTCCCCTTGTCCGAGAAGGCTAGCTGTAAATCTTTCCTACCAGAAGATCAGGGGTGGGGCGGAAAGACAGCAGTAAGAAGAAGCCAAGGAGTAGCAGTAGAAAGGCTGCAGAAAGAGTCAGGAGCCCAAAGGAGGGGGCAAAGGAGGTGAGGGGGGAAAGAGGAGACGAAAGCAGACGACAGAACATTGCCAGAGAGCAGGAAAGGAGGTGAAAGGAGACAATGTTAGAGAAGAACATTTTTTTCCTGATTCGAACCTGGGACCTTTGAATGAGAGGCCAACACCTTAACCACGAGAGCCCCCGAAGAAAGGAGTGGGTATGAAGTTTGGGCAGGATGCAGCCCTTGAGTTGACGGATGGAAAAGGGAGAGTTGCTTTATTTTTAGAATATGTGAGGAGATAATATGAACATAATATATAGAACAAGTCAAACGACCCATTGAGTATTGTAATTTTATATAAAAGACAAGACCTCGAATCATCAGGAATATCACTGGAGAAAGGTAAAAGACTTCAAACTGTCCAAAAACAATGCTGTACGTTTAGTTTTACAGAAAAGAAAGTGCGACTCTTCTAAAACTCTTTTACGCACACTGCATTGGCTTCCTGTTCAGAAAAGAATTGTGTACAAGTTGGCCACCCTATGTCACAAATGTTTGAATGATAATGCGCGATCATATTTATCAAATCTGTTAAGACTGCACATTCCAACTCGCAGTTTAAGGTCATAGGCTGACAAAAAGAAATTTATTTTACCATCTATGAAACTTAAAACAATGGGTGAATAGGGCATTTGAACACTAAGGCCCCAAGATTTGGAATGCTTTACCAAGTACTTTAAGAGAGATCAAATCGTTTGATTCATTAAAATATCAGCTGAAGTCGTTTCTGTTTTTAAATTAATAAGATGAATATTTGGAGCGATTTTCTTTTAGTCAGAACTCAACGTTTTATCTTTCTGTTGTACGTTGTACAGTATTGTAAAGCGCTCAGAGCATTTGTACTTTAATCGGGGTTGAGCTCTATATAAGTGTCATTTATTATCTAACTTCAGTCTATTATAGAACCAAGTCAGGTAAGTTAAGTGAAATTCCCCCATGATTAAAGTTCGAGAAAGTGGAATAAGGTATTCGAACCAGGGTCACTACGTCATAAAACACCAGGACACATACTTAGCTGGCGGTGTTACATTACATAAACAAGGTTGTGGGTTACCAAAGCAAAGCAATAGCAAAACGCAATAAATGAGTCAAAGAATAAATTGTAACAGCCAGTTAACAGATTTGAACTATACAAATAGCTCAATTGATACTGAACCACAGTGTCAACTTCCGGGTTCTTCTTCCCTATTTATCTGTTGTTGTTTGTGGTTTTTCTAATGTGGGTGTTTTTGCACCCCCCCC